TTCAACCCTTTCCAGAGCTGAAGTCACCTGACATCACCCTGACTAGCCCTAGAGGTATCCTGAATTACACAGGCCAGTTCATCACTGAAACGTTTTGCCAAGAGAAGAGCTATGCATTTAAAGTGCATTTGAACAAAGGTCACAGACCAATAACCTTTTCAGCTATAGTGTGGCAGCCATGATGGGCCTAGTGAGAAAGATGGAAGAACTCGACAGAGGATTCAATGATTTTGAACATTTGAAAGGAGATCCAATTGCAACCTATTTAAGACACAATAATAAACCTTGCAATGTGCAAACACCCCTACCAGAAAAAAATTGAAAGAGACTAGCTGTAGATTTATGGAGATTCAGAGGAAATCATTACCTGGTCATTGTGAACTACTTGTCCAAGTATATAGAAATTATGTTCTTTAAAGATACAGCATGTGGTAGCATTACTGAGAAAATGAAGTGCACTTTTGCTTACTATAGTATTCCAGAACAACTAGTGTTGAAAAATAGACAACAATTTGCAGCAGCAGAACTTAAGTCATTGTGAATTAAATATTATTTTGATCATATTACCAGCAGCCCACATTACCCACAAGTGAATGGAGAAGCTGAGAGAGTTGTACAGATAGCCAAGATAATCCTACAAAAGGAAGAGCCATTCTTTGGTCTTCTGAGCTACAGATCAACTCCAATAGCGACCACAGGTTATAGTCCAGTACAACTCCTTGATGGGAAAACAACTCAGAACAACTCCTCCAACTTTAAAAAAGTCTCCAAGGTGTCCAGACATGAAAAGAATAGCCAAATTGGATAAATAGACTAAAAGAGTTTATGGTCTCTTTTACAACAGATGCCACTCTGAGTACTGCTGGTTCTAGAACCTGGTGGACAGCATGTGTGTCAAATTGGATGGAGAAAAAGGATGGACAACTCCAGCTGTCATAAAGAAAAAGAATTCAGCAATCATATAATATGTGATTGAGACCGACAGTGGAGAGTTCAGCAGAAGCCATCAATATCTACAGTTTGTTCCTTAGCAAGAAAAATCAACACAGGAAACAAAAAGAAGAGTCAAGGACTCTAGATTCCCCCACAGCCACTCATTGAAACTACTATGATTCAGAGAAACTTAAGAAACTGATGCATAGTGACATTCAAAGATAGAGAGACAGTGTAAATTCTGTAAATGTTAGGAGTATAGAACGTGAAGGGGGAGATGTATTGAAAAGTAACTATATCATACTTGTCAGTGAATAGGTGGCACTATGGTAGAATACTTTATTTAAGCTAACCACCCTAATACCTAACAGAGCATGACGAACACATCTGATGTGTTCCTCTCTAAGAAGGAAGACCTGTAGGCAGACCATATCTAGTATGGAAGCATGACACTCCTGTCTGGAACAGTTTAGTGATTGGGAAGATAATGGACATGAATCATTCCAACACTGAACTGAAATGTTTAGCTCAATAAGTTACTCCACAAACTTGGTACATGACTTTCAGCAGCTCATAACTAGCAATAGTCCAAACCAACCTCCTCTTCCAGAGCAAAATTCATCAGCCAGGACAGTTGCTGTACAAAATTTGAAAACTCACAAAAGTTGACCTCAGGGCTAGAAAATAATGTAAATACACAGGTGAATTGTCACAGTCTTCTCAGTTAAAAGAAAGATATATATTAAAAAAATCTGTTCTATTCATAGAAAAAGGCTGGCATTTTCCAACCAAAAGGTTGCTGTTTCACAAAGTTAACAGCATTTGAAAATAGACCCCATTTCCACTTTCTGAATATTGATCACTCTGTGCTCGCTGTGATCTGAAATAGGATTACTACGTTGTGGTCTACTTCGTTAACTGAGAAGACATTCTTCTTACCTATTTGAGTTCTCAGTTCACCATGTTCTGAAAGAGAGGCATGACAATGCTCAGAAAAGAATAATTAATGTGTGAGGTTTCTGGTTCCTCAAAGACCTTCTTGCTGGAGCCTTTCTAAGGGTTCCATCCAATTCCCAGTGAAGTCAATAGCAGCCATTACTCAAATACTTCAATCTTTCCAAAGACTCCACAGTATCATAGAACACAGAGTGGGAGGCGGTTCTCTGGAGATTTCCAACATAAACTGGAATTTCCCCAGCTCCTTTAATATTATTGAAATGGGGATTTTGTTCTATAGTGGGCCGTATTAATCCCATGTTTTAGTGATGCTGACAAATCAATTTTGAGTGTGTGTGTTTGCAAATATAGTAATTAGCATTTTATTAATAGAAAAAGTACACAACTATAACATCCTGCTTGATTTATGAGGTATGGCTCCATGATCCTTGAACATTCAACAGTCACAAGGACTTTATGGGGAGCATGAGAATACAGTGATTCCAGACTCTGATGCATAAACTTTTAAGTAACATCCTGCTTAATTGAGGAAATAGGTGAAGTGAAGCCCTGGTTCCACTGAAATCAATGGAAACACTCAAACAGGGCCAAATTATATTAATTAAAATAGGTTAGTGAACATGTTTTAAAACACAGCGGTGTATCTAGCATAGACAACATTTATCACCTTTTAAAATACATTAGCATTGACCATGACCAGCTACTAAATTTTATCACTCAATCTATTTTCTAAGTCTAGACATGAACATTTGAAATGTGATTCCTGAGAGAAGGAGGAAAGGAAAGTTCATATACAAGGAAGTATCAACCCTAACATTACAATTAGTAGCTCATAGCCAAAAAATAGGATTTTCTAAAACATTCAGATCACTGAAAAGCACAGACTTTCAAGAGGACTTGCGCTGCTAAATCACTCAGACTGTGTCAAAATCCCACCATCACTGAATAAGAAGGTTGGAGGCAAAGCAACTTGTTCTCTCTCCTCATTAACATGACAATACATTTAATGGCAATTTATGCACAAATGTCTATGAAAGAAGTACCTGTATTTTATGTTTCAAAGTTATTTTCCATACTAGGCAGCCATAGCTTGTTTTACCCCATGCTTATTTTCACAGTTAGAATGAAGATAATATCAGAATCAAAGTCTCCACGGTTTAGGTATGCAGCTTTACAGCTAAAATCAATCAGGTAATTGATCTGATTGCATTACTAAAATAAACTGAAATTGTTAGCTTTTTTTTTTTTGAACTGGGGAAATTAATTTTACACAATCCTCATACCCATTGATGCATTTAGGAAAGAGAAGGAGGTGGGGTGATGGGGAGCTCCAAGTATTCATTTCATTCTCAGAGTCTCATTCTGGTAACATACAAAATTCAGGAAGAAAAAAAAATGAGTGTATACCATTTTCTTTCTGGGGTTGCCCTGCAAGAAAAGAACAAAAAATTCAGTTACTAACTGTGCTAACATTGTGACAAATATGACAACTTTCTCCCTTACACTAAGGAAATTTTAATGTATTAAATTTATGATTCCTGTTGGGTCAGGGGGTTTATGTAATTCCATGAGAGAGGGTAACCACAACCCAGCAGGAACTAAGGACAGTGTGTGTGTGTGCGGGGTGGGGGGTGGGGGGTTATTGAGCAAATTCACACCCTGAGAGAGGCCCCACATCCAGGGGAGGCTCCCATATGCTAGTTTAAACTGGATTCTACAGAGGCCAACAGACATAAAAAGGACCTTTGCAATAATAGTTGGAGTTAAAACTGACTCACGGCCTTCTCTCTGATCCAGCAATTGGACAGGACTTTCTGTCAAGGGGAGGGTTGGAAGCACTGACACCAACCAGAGTTTTAAAACATTTTAATTAAAATGGGTTAGCTAACATATTTTAAAACACAGCTTTTTATCTAGCACAGACAGGATTTTACATCTTGAAAAATCCATTAGCATTGGCCAGGACGAGCTACTGAATTATATTACCCAACTGACATTCATATTAGAGATCTGATTCCTGAGAGAAGGAGGAAAAGAAAGTTCATATACAGCCGAGTATCTCCCTTAAGGTTACAGAGGGTCCTGTGGCACCTTTAAGACTAACAGAAGTATTGGGAGCATAAGCTTTCGTGGGTAAGAACCTGAAGTGAGGTTCTTACCCACGAAAGCTTATGCTCCCAATACTTCTGTTAGTCTTAAAGGTGCCACAGGACCCTCTGTTGCTTTTTACAGATTCAGACTAACACGGCTACCCCTCGGATACTTGACTCCCTTAAGGTTACAATTTACACGGGCTTGAGAGACACCCCTGGTTCGATCTGTATTTCCTCCTGTACATAAAAGGGATTTCAAAAGAACTGGAACTTTCCAAATGGAAGAAACAATGGTAGTGTGACTGCTATAGCTAATGGGCAAGACAATGATTGAGGAGATTTGGGTTCCCACCTCTGCCAAAAATTCCTATATCTCCTTAGGACAGCAACCAAAGCTTCCTGTTCTTCACTTTCCCCATGTGTACAAGGGAGACAATAATACTCAGGGCCTCACAATTTGGTAGGTTGTTTCATTCATTAATGTTGAGAGAATGCTTTGAGCTCCTCCAGTGGAGGCTGGTTGTGATGGGAGGAAATCCCTCCTTGGGAACAGGAAAGAGAATGCATCCCTGCTCAGAGAAACTGGCAGAGCCTAAAGGGAGGGCAGTGTTGATGGGGCTTCTTAGGAAGCAGAGGCAGATTACTGAAGGCATTTAGGCACTTCAAAGTTCAGATAACCCCTCTAGATGGATGTTTTAAAGTGGCTAGGCACCTCACTCTGACTGAAATCCAGAAGAAATGACTGATGTCACTTCTCCCATCTCAGCCCCATTTGAACTGTCTAGAACTAATGTATAAACATGTCTGGCACATAGCACACCAAAAAAGCTTAATTCATGTGTGATTTTCTGGTTTCTGAAAGATCTTCTTGCCCAGGCCTTTCTAAGGGTTCCATCCAATTCACAGTGAAGTCAATAGGAGACATTGCCTAATCACCTCAATCTTTCCAAAGACTCTGCAGTATCACAGAACACATAGAGAACCCCCTTCCACTTTGGAGACTCCCAACATAAACTGGAATTTCCCCAGCTACTTTAATATTATTGAAATGTGGATGTTGTTCTATAGTAGACCATATTAATCCCATGTTTTAGTGATGCTGACAAATCTGTTTGGAGTGTGTGTGTTTGTGTGAATACTAAGCCCCTTTCTACAATTACCAACAAAATAACGTAAGATGTTGTCAAGGCTGCTTCCCCACTCTGAACTTTAGGGTACAAATGTGGGGGCCTGCATGAAAACTTCTAAGCTTAACTACCAGCTTAGATCTGGTCCGCTGCCACCACTCCCAAAGCTAATTCCCTTCCCTGGGTAGCCTTCAGAGACTCTTCACCAATTCCATGGTGAATACAGATCCAAAACCCCTTGGATCTTAAAACAAGGAGAAATTAACCATCCCCCCTCCTTCCTCCCACCAACTCCTGGTGGATCAAGATCCAACCCCCTTGGATCTAAAAACAAGGAAAAATCAATCAGGTTCTTAAAAAGAAGGCTTTTAATTAAAGAAAAAGGTAAAAATCATCTCTGTAAAATCAGGATGGAAAATAAACTTTACAGGGTAATCAAACTTAAAGAGCCCAGAGGACCCCCCTCTAGCCTTAGGTTCAAAGTTACAGCAAACAGAGGTAAACACCCTAGTAAAAGGTACATTTACAAGTTGAGAAAACAAACAAACTAACACGCCTTGCCTGGCTGTTTACTTACAAGTTTGAAATATGAGAGACTTGTTCAGAAAGATTTGGAGAACCTGGATTGATGTCTGGTCCCTCTCAGTCCCAAGAGCGAACAACCCCCCAAAAAAGGGCACAAACAAAAGCCTCCCCCCCCCCCACAAGATTTGAAACTATCTTGTCCCCTTATTGGTTCTTTGGGTCAGGTGTCAGCCAGGTTACCTGAGCTTCTTAACCCTTTACAGGTAAAAGGATTTTGGAGTCTCTGGCCAGGAGGGATTTTATAGTACTGTACACAGGAGAACTGTTACCCTTCCCTTTATAGTTATGACACGCCCCCCAAATCACAGATAGTGTTGGACAGCCGGTTCCACACTGGCTGTGATTTCTTCCTGGAGCTCTAGGAGAAAACAGAGTTAATAAGACACATGCACCTTTAGACATACTACTGATTATATAAAAACTAACTATGTTCCACATTCCAAGGACAATTTTTAACCAGTTGATTCTGGGAAACTTTCGCGGGAGAGTGCATCAGCCACTTTGTTAGAAGCCCCTGAAATGTGTTGTATTTCAAAATCAAAATCTTGGAGAGCTAAACTCCACCCAAGAAGTTTTTTGTTATTCCCCTTGGCGGTATGAAGCCACTGTAGCGCAGCATGGTCTGTTTGTAGTTGGAAACGCCGTCCCCAAACATATGGGCGTAGCTTTTCCAGCGCGTACACAATGGCATAGCATTACTTTTCGCTGATTGACCAGTAGCTTTCCCTCTCACACAGTTTCTTGCTGAGAAACACAACAGGATGGAATTCTTGATCCGGTCCTTCCTGCATTAAAACTGCTCCCACGCCCCGCTCGGACCCATCTGTGGTTACTAGGAATGGTTTGTCAAAGTCTGGGGCCCTTAGCACAGGGTCAGACATGAGTTTCACCTTAAGCTGGTGAAAGGCCTTTTGACATTCCTCAGTCCACTGAACTGCATTTGGCTGTTTCTTTTTGGTTAGGTCTGTCAGCAGGGCGGCGATTTGGCTGTAATGTGGTACAAATTGCCTATAATATCCAGCAAAGCCTAAGAAGGATTGGACCTGTTTCTTTGACTTTCGAAGCGGCCACTTTTGGATAGCATCCACTTTGGCCTGTAGGGGATTTATAGTTCCTTGACCCACCTGGTGCCCCAGGTAAGTCACTCTGTTTTGGCCAATTTGACACTTTTTAGCCTTAACAGTTAGTCCTGCCTGCCGGATGCGCTCAAAGACTTTTTCCAGGTGCTCCAGGTGTTCTGTCCATGAATCAGAAAAAATAGCCACATCATCAAGGTAGGCAACTGCAGATTCTCCCAATCCCGCTAGGAGACCATCTACAAGTCTTTGGAAGGTGGCGGGTGCATTTCGCAACCCGAAAGGGAGTACATTGAATTCATACACCCCTGCCTGTGTGACGAAGGCTGACCTTTCCTTAGGGGGTTCATCTAGTGGTACTTGCCAGTACCCTTTTGTTAAGTCTAAAGTAGAGATGAATTGGGCATGTCCCATTTTCTCCAATAGCTCATCTGTGCGTGGCATTGGATAGTTGTCAGGACGAGTTACAGCATTTAGCTTACGGTAGTCCACGCAAAAGCGTATTTCCCCATCTGGTTTGGGAACTAGAACCACTGGAGATGCCCATGCACTGTTAGAGGGGCGGATTATACCCATCTGTAGCATGTCCTGGATCTCCCTTTGTATAGCATTTTGGGCATGAGGTGACTCCCGGTAGGGTGGGGTTCTAATTGGGTGAGCATTACCTGTGTCAATGGAGTGGTATGCCCGTTCGGTCTGTCCTGGAGTGGCTGAGAAAATCGGTGCAAAGCTTGTGCAAAGCTCCTTGATCTGCTGTCGCTGCAGACGTCCAAGGGTCATGGAGAGGTTCACCTCTTCCATGCCACCATCCCTTTTTCCTTCGTAGTAGACACCTTCAGGCCACTCCACATCATCTGTTCCCTGGGCTGTAAACTGGCAAACGTTTAATTCTCTGGAATAAAAGGGCTTAAGTGAATGAACATGGTATACCTTAGGCTTTATGTTGGAGGTGGGGGAGGCTATGAGATAGTTAACAGCTCCTAGGTGCTCCTGGACCGTGAATGGTCCTTCCTACGATGCTTCCATTTTATGGGCCTGGAGCGCCTTTAAGACCATGAATTGGTCTCCTACCTTGAAGGACCGATCTCTGGAAAGTTTATCATACCAGGCCTTTTGCTCTTCCTGAGCATCCTTTAGGTTTTCTTTAGCAAGGGCTAAAGAGTGTCAGAGGATGCTTTGTAGGTTGCTTACAAAGTCTAGAATGTTAGTTCCTGGAGAAGGCGTAAACCCCTCCCATTCCTGCTTCACCAACTGTAATGGCCCCTTAACCTCGCAGCCATAGACAAGTTCAAATGGTGAAAACCCTAAACTGGGATGGGGTACAGCCCTGTAGGCAAAAAGCAACTGCTGCAATACTAGGTCCCAATCATTGGAGTGTTCAATTACGAATTTACGTATCATGGCCCACAAAGTTCCATTAAACCTCTCCACCAGGCCATTGGTTTGATGGTGGTAAGGGGTGGCAACCAAGTGATTCACCCCATGAGCTTCCCACAGGTTTTTCATGGTCCTTGCCAGGAAATTAGTTCCCAAATCTGTAAGGATGT